CTCAACCAACAAACAATTCGTCCTGGTCAGGGGCTTCGGATGACTTTCTCCTAGGTGTTGTTTTTTGCTGCTTTTGCTACTTTATGTCAATCTTAGTGTGAAGGAGCTTCCTTTGTCTTCACATTCCTGAGAAACTCCGAGACTTGATCTGCTGGCTGTAGTCGAAGGGCCCCCCCTACAGAACACCAAAAGGGATGTCCCCCTAGACACAACCCTTATCTAGAGGTTGTATCCTGTTAACGTTATATCCGGTTGTCCATTCACCACCCCCAGGGCCACAGGAACCCCACACCTCAAACGCCGAACCATGTAAACGCCTTGGCTCCGTGGCCATCGCCTCTTCCAGCTTCAAGGTGGTCAAGCGCTGTCCGATCCGCAGCGCGGTGTCTAAACTGCCCCGCCCGGTGTTTAAGACACCCTGTGGTGTAAGCATCAACCTCGGAAGATGGTGGAAACACACGCTGCAACCGGTTTCTGGTGTTTATTTTCTCTGTTTGGGTGCCCAACAGAGAAAACACAGAAAGCAAACAAAGGCAACATCAAGCCACAAGTTCTTTCAAGCTATGCCGGATATGCTGTTGCTTCACTCCCACTGCATCTATGCTTGCAGGCTGGGGAGCAATCCTTGGAAGGCGATGGGCCTCTCCTGTGTGTGATCCCGTTGCCTAAAGGTGTGCAGCATCTCGAAGAGGCACCAAGACCTCGAAAACAGGAGCAATTCTGACCCAAGCTGCCTGCAAATATGTCAACACCATATTTTGGATACAGTGCGGGCAAATACGCCAATAGGACGTGTGTGGACATACATTGCGATTTGCCATCTTTTTGAACCAACATGAGCTCACAGCAATCACATCCACACCTCTTCAAAGGCGTCACATCCACATCCATCCTGGGCATGAGTGGTCCCAACTGGAAAGCCTTTGATGGATCTTTGTGAAGCACATTCGACACGGTGATCTCTCCGCTGGTCTGAGGACATCAAACATCAGAAAGCAGGGCCTCTCCCATTTTGTTGTTCACGAGTCGAGTCGAAAGGCCGATCGATAGAGGCAGAATGCGGACCTGACCTATGCGCCCAAGCGTCATCATGCCTGTGCCCAGACAGGTTGGAGAAGTCAAGGCCTTGAAGAAGGAGGACTCTGTTGGAGGTGCATCTCTTGGGATTTCCTCATCCATCTTCCACTGGTTGTTGCTGAAAGTACAAATCCTGAATGCAGCACGCAAGGTTGGATTGCAAGGATTGTCCACAACTGCATTGTCGATAAGGAAAAAGGATGAAAAAGGATGAAAAAGGTGTGATTGGTCAGAACAAATGATTCCATACTGAAAGTGTTTCCGTGATGTTTAGGCACAGGGTATGGACAACTGATGACAACTGGCGATTCTAAGAAGCAGGGGGGCGCTTGGCTTTGGGTGCCCAACGCGTTGCTTGAAACCGAGGCTCCAGTATCGCACGTCCTCCCAGTTCTCCGCATGGTGTTTGGCGTGCTGTTGAAGGCTCAGAATGAAATCGCAGAACCTGAGCCAGGTTGTCTCACCAGAATTCTTCTTCTCCCTCCTCTCAGTCTCCTCTCATCTCCAGAAATTTTCCTTTTCTTCGCGTCACATGTGCTGCTGAGCGGCGGTAGTCCCCAAAAGTGGGAAATGAACCAATCGACCAAGTCGCAGCCAACCTTCCGATCCGATCGTCCGACCGTACAGTTTTTCATCTTGCTAAGACTCCTTCTGTTTAACTGTTTGGACATCCGGCCGCGAATGACACGGGATTACAGCATATAGCAAACAATCATAAAAA